TCCAGGAGTACCGTTGACATCAACCTCAACCTTATTATCCTCCTGCTGATAGTATCCTCGTGACTCTCCATCAACCTTATGGACATCAGAGACCTTAGAAGAAGAACCTTGAGTCTCATTGGCACCCTTAAATGAAGACTCATCCAATTGCTCCCTATTGGAACCCTCGGGCGATATAGTCTTCGACCAGGTAACCTTAGACTCAGAACCATCATTCTTTTTACCACCGTACGCATTGGGGGACTTCCAAGTACCATCATCTTTATTCCAAGACCTTTCTCCGTCCTCGGCGGAGGAGTAAGAACTCTTAGGGTAACAGTAAGCCTTCTCGATATGCGGAATAGCCTCCAATATACCTTCAGTCATAGCACCGTCGACCAAGAAGTACTGTAGGTAGGGCTCGTACCTTTTGAATACTTGGAATGAATGCTGATCAAACTTTCGTTCCAACTGTTGAACGATATGATACTCATTACAGTGAGTATATTCCGCCCAAAGCGTACGCCAAAAGATAGTGTTGTACATAGCATAAACCCTTTTTATGGTGAAGAACAGACTCAATGTAACTGGCTTAACCTTCTGCACAACCGCCTTACTGTCATAAGCCATACGAGACAACACCAAAACCGGGTAGGTACTCTCACTATCCCATTGGTTGGTGAGATCCAGAAAGGTACGTACAACCATGAACCTTATGAACTGACCCAAGTTAGCAAGACGAGGAGGGTAATCAATCCCTTCCAGATGCAGACATTTAACATCAACAACATCACTGATACCATCAAACCTCGTGATATTGTTGCAAATGAACAACCTTAGTCTAGGTTCCATCTTATACCAAACTTCTGGAACAATATGAAAGGTGTTCAATAGGGGTAAGTCCATAATACGGCTCTCGAACTCGTTGAACAACTCCCAATCAATCACTGGTAGGGTACTTAGAACCAACCCTTGGGAATTGTATACCTGGGGGCCTTTGACCTTACCAAACCAAGTATCACGAGGGCCCACACCAACAACCAAATCACGACTGTACGTAACATCTCCAAGACGCGACAAGGGGCAAGTAAAGTCGTAGGTCTGAACGATCTTGTTAAAATCAACCCCAGGAACCAATAACTCCTCACGGAGATCATCGATAACCTTGTTACCAACGCGCTTGTTTATCTTCACGTCTCGGACCAAGGCCTTCACAAATATACCCAAAGCAGTCTCTCGGATATTAGCCGCCAACTTGTGACCGTCCATACCTTCAATAGATGAGTCCACCTGCTCCAACATACACTTGGCGACAGTAACCGCAGGTGGGTCTGCCCAACTAGTAGCTTGGACCTTAGCCGCGATAGACTCCATGGACATAAAATTGCGTGGTACAGGGACCGTTAGCACAACGATGAGCTAACAATATCAGTAATAATGATCCCGAGATTAAAGAATTCCCTTAACCGTTCAGTAGCTACAATAACTCGTAAAGAAAATGAACAATACACAAACAACAGATATAGCCATCACTGCTAACCTCAGACCCTACCAACTTCTATAAGTATATTCAGACACAGATATCAGCAATGTCCGAGAACAAGCCTCAACCTCGTAACGCCTAGGACAACCGTAAATCTCAAGGCGAAACCGTCCAGACGCGGTCGAGGAATCCTAGCACGAAACGGTAGGGATAACCAAGATTAAGCAAGTGCGCAAGATTGTGCGAGCTTACACCCAAAGAACAAGTCTCGAGGGAAGCAAGAGAAACATAATGCCAATGTAGGCACAAGGCAAATAACAATTATACAACAACATAGATCCCTCTATACACTATTGAGTAGCTTGCAGGCATCTCAAACCAGTAATTAACGATAATTGCCAGATACGCTCCGACAACCACCATTCTTAATAAGCTGGTAGCACCTATTACAATAGGCTAATGGCAGCAACGAATAGAAAGAGTACGGTAGTATATAGCACAACAGTTAACATTATGATCATCATCAAGCTATATCCGAATAATATTCAAGAGACTCGTCAAGTCTCGAATCATCCTTCTTGTCCATATCGATGACCAGGGCTTCACGTAAACCAACGTCTTCAATGGAACCGTTATTGGCTCACAATCCCTCGCCTTAACCTCGACATCGACTGTCAATCTTTCTATCACTAATGGCTGCACTAAGACGTCTTCGCTACCGTCGCAATAACCTTCGAGAACCTTCGCCAAACCCTTGTAGGACTCGTGAACCACGAGGACCATGGAATATTCAGGCGGTAAAGACTCCAGAAATCTCCCAAATCTTAGAGACTTAGAGACCCCCAGACGTTCTCGAAGAAATCGTAAATCAACCTCCACCGAACCTTCAAGACCGCCTTCCTCGGAAGAGTTATCTTCCTCCAGTGGTGTTTCAGGTATCGGACTAGTCGACATCTTGTGATCACCGTGCACGTTGAGAGTGTCACCTCTCACTCCTGGAGGGAGTGCAGGGGCACTGCTGTACTCGTGATCACCCGAATAGTAATCCTCTACGGCATCGTCCACGTTGACATGATCTTCTTCGGCCGATACAACATCGTTGTCGTGGTCGTCCACAATACCCTCTTCATCAGAATCTCTCACTCGGCCACGTTCTACTTGTCGTCGCCACGCTGCCAACCCTCTCTCAACAGCTGTACGTGTACGTGCTTCTCTAATCCTTTGACCATCACTCTCTTGTTCACAACCATCTTTCAACTCCAAGGTCTGGATCGTACCATCAGCATCAACATAAACCCTTCGACCTTTTGCGAGGTGCGCATAAATCACTTCCTGGAGAGCACCCGCGTGCTTCACATTCTTCAGCGAGAACACTTCTTCTTCACCGTAGACTATAGGTACCACTAAACTCTGCCCATCGTCAGATTCCTTCACTCCTCCGAAGTAAGGCAACAATACCCCCTTTACCACTCCAACGGTGGCCGTACCCTTCAGAGAACTAATCGTATAGGGCCCTGACCATATAACATCCAAGTGGTGACCTATCCTCACTTCTGGTGATCTACTCACAAATACCACATCATACAACCTAGGACTATAGTCCCGCTGACCATCCATTGCCATACGCTCGAAATTCGCCTCCTGCTTCAACCTCCAGCAATCCATATACTCAGCTAAACTAGCAGCAATGCTTTCTCTCGCCGACTCCAACACTGGTAGGTTATCTCTCACAAACTCCACAACATCAGTATCGATATACTTCAACCTCAGCGAATCCCAATCGACACAATCTACCAACTCTCCTCGCTCTCCTGGTAATCTCACACCATAAGTGAAATGCAACTCCGCCGGACTCACATTACACCATATACGGGGTGTAACGTTGTACGCTCTCACCGCTAGCATATAGTCCTCAATATATGACCCTCTATCAACCATAGCCGACCCTGAGGCCCGTGTCGCTCTAGTTACTTCCACGAAATCCTTATGGGGCCTCTCCCAGAAGCTCAAATACTGGGAGTATCCGGGTAGGGTATAATATTTGACTCCATGCTTCGCCAACGTTAACTTCACATCCTTTCGTATGAAGTGAACCCTATCGTTATCGGTGAGTAGCACCCTCGGCGACCCATGCTCACAGAAGATGGAATCTAACCCGAGAGCAACTGTCTTCGGCTTACAACTCCTCAAGGGACGCACACACGTGAATCCAGACACATGGTCGTGAACCAACAGTAGGTACTTCTCAACCTCATCATTCGCCTCACAATCCTCATTGTACGGACCAGCTATATCAGCTCCAACTACTTGCCATAATCCGCCTACGACAAGTTGTTGCACTTGTGAGTTCACATAATCCAACATTCGAGCTGTCCTAGCCCGTAGGCAGGGTATACACGAAGCTACCGTCTTCTTAACCAATCTGTCCATACCCTTTCTATAATACTTCATCTTCAACTTCCTACACAACCTTCTTGACCCAAGATGAGTATAGACATAATGGTAGACCACCGCCAATAACCTTATAAACTTCTCAGAGAACTCCGATTGGCCCAAATAAACTACACCTCTACCCTGCTCTCGAACTCCTTCATCCTCAGAGCTGGGACGACGGTGAACCAATCCATCATTGTCGATATAACAAATCTTACTCATACGGTGCATGACCTTAGCTCGGATGCCTAGCTCACTTCTCTTCAACCTCTTCAGCAGGTATTCCCTGAATTGCCGTAAATCCTCATCCGAAACCTGACATCTCTTCACACACCGCCTCAAACAAGTCGTAAAATCTTCATCATTCAACAATCCTTCTCCAACTCTTCCATTCGGTCTTGCATATCGTTGGAGCTCGATCAGCTCCTCGTATTCATCACCCTCCAAACCGTCCAAATCGGGTACATCAATTCCATCACTGTTCACAACCGTCACTCCATACAACCGCTCGCTGTTAATACAGTTCACCTCCATATCGCCTTCTTGCGTTGCCTCTCGATAATCATAAACCACACTCGAGGACAACAGACTAGCGAGCACCTCGTGATGCTTGATGGACTTTGTCATACCATAATTGCCACGAGATATAGAGTCAGCTAGGTTCAGCTGTGTCGGGACGTGCCGAACAATAACGTCCAACTCTTTACACATTTCTCGAACCTCAGCTAATCTTCTTCGTTCCGGTGCCGGCAACTTCTTATCATTAGCCGGTCGGCGCAGCCTATAAACCGTAATCTCACTGTCACAGAGAAGCGTCACCTGCTTGGGGGTATACGATGGCGTCAAGGGCCGTACTTCACTCTCATGTAAACCTTGAACCATCTTCATCGGCAAATAACTAGACACAGACCGAACGAATTGAAGACCTCGATGGAGAGCAACCAGTTCCTTCCTCGGTATCGACCATGACGTTTGACCAGGGGGGTACAATCCCCCTCGGGCGACCAACCGATACCTTACAAACTCTCCTGTACAACGTACGTCAACTCCCCATGCTTCAACCGAAGCATCGGTACATACCAATAAAGCCTCAGCACCAAGGTCTATATAACGCTGAACACTGTCTTCAGCAGTAACCTTCTGAACCTCGTTAACCCATTCCTTCAACCTTCGAACCGACGGTAGGTCCAGATAGGTAGACCACTCCTTACATGACTTACAAATATCCCGCCATAGGAAACGGCCAGCAAAATCCAACTCCAGGAATAATCCCATAGGATCGTACAACGATGAGAGGATCGCACAAGCCGCTCGTTTAGTGACCTTAGATTCAGGCTGATTTCCCGAAAATAAGGCTCGTAGCGCATCTGTAGCCATAACCAGGGAGTAACCCAATATATGACCATCCGGTTTATCCTCTTCACCAACCACACCACCGTAGGCAGCAACCAGGTCCTTCAAAGGATCCGTAACGAAGCCGTGTCCTTCGAACATATGTCCAACAAATTCCCTACAGGACCTCACTTCTTCTAGAGTATCACCACCAAAAAAGAAGTCATCAACGAACTTCTCGAACACCAGCTTGCGGGGTATCGCAGGACCATTTTTGACATACCTAACTGCGTCTACAGTTGGCCTCAATAAAGCTCGGAACACCTTTTGGTCATCTAACCTATTTGCCTCCACCAAACTGTCTTCACCTGGTGGGAGGCTACCTACCATATCCACTATCTCCTTACCAACATCATGGGATGAGGCTTCCAGCATATTAGGAGCTGCCGTGCTCCCAAAGGATACCCTATACCATAGCACCGTAAACGGACCAATACAAGTATATCCAGAATGTGGTAGATCCTCCAACGATGAGACCATTTGACAGAACGCCTTCGATATGTCGGAACCAATGACATATTTGAACCCTCTGACATGCAGCAATACTCCCAACAGGTCGTTCTGAGACTTGCCACCTTTGAAACAGTACCGATTCATCTCTCGATAGTCTAAGACTATGCGACATGGGGTAGTCACGTGATCTTCTCTAAAGACCATATGCGATGGCGTGAAATGCCTAGGCATAGTGACTATGGTTCCCTTCAAAGCACCCTTATCGGTAAGTCTCTTCCAAACCGTCTGACACTCTGTCGCAGTAGGAGGTTGGGAGTAACCATCCTGACTGTTATCTTTAACTATATCGCAGAAACCCTTGTTGATGTAAACCTTCAAGGCCTTTTCGAACTGGTCATACTGTCCGGAAGTAAGTCTCTTTAACGAAGACATACCCCTTCTGGCGGCCATACGGAAATTGAAGGCAGGTCGATCTTCAGATACCCAAGGGACTTTAACAAGCGGTCGACCTAATATTGCCGTATCATCGAGTACCCAACAGCGTTCAATAACCTCCCATGGTGGTCTATCATCTTTGGTTGTATCAGTATCCTCCACGTGCTGTATGGCGTCATTTTCATTCAACTCTTGCTCACATCGATACTTCTCCATTTTGGGGGGTGTACCATTCGCGGTAGTCTCTCGTTGCTCGGAGGTTGTCCCCTCCCCAGGCGCAACAAGAGAGACCTTTATTCCCTCGTTATAACCATCAACCACTTCTTTACCATTTGGATAAGTAAGTAGTTGCCAAGGAGACTGCGGATTTTTATATTGATCCACCGTTAATCTCTCACCCTTGATGCCACTCTCCTGAATAAGACGATTGATTTGATTAACCTGATATTCCATTCTCAAATCATATCCAACCAAGTCCACCGTTGCCCGCGCTAGCGGAGTTGCCCGCGTTAGCGGAGTTGCCCGCGGTGGTATATAATCGACCTTATTCGAGAAGCTCACCCTTTTTTTGTATCTTCGGCACATCAACAACATTAGTAACAATATTCATACCATTGGTAGTGATAACAATCGAAGTCTTTAATTTTGACAAAGTAGTGCATCCCAATAATAACGGAACCGATAGATCATCAGATGTGACAATGAAACGATCAACTATTTCAATATTATTCGTAGCCACTGTAAGCATCACACTTCCAAGTATTGCCATACCAGAACCATCTGCGGTAGTAATACGAGGAATGATAATATCTTCATATTGAACCTTAGGTGCATACTCTTCAAGCCAAGAATACGTAATTAACGATGCCTCCGCCCCTGTATCGAATAGGGCAGTGGTGGGTTTCCCTTGTAGCTTGACCTCACCAATAACCATAGGTACACCGAGGTCAACCAGTCTTGAGTCACCCTCGTCGTTCTTTACATAGTCTTTCACGTTTGAGACCATGTAGATCTTCGCCGAACCTGAAGCCTTGTCACCATTTACTTTAGCAGTAGGAGTGGGAGGTCGCCTTGTAATTGAACCTTCGCGACGAGAATCCAGTGGGTTACTACGACAAGTGTAGGCTAAATGCCCAGTGATATTACATCTATTGCACACGGCATTATTTAACTCAGTTTTACAATTATCGATAGTATGATTTGGATTCCCACAACGCACACAACGCCGATCTAGGAAGGCAGGTTCAGGGGCTCTACATCTACGAGCGGAATGCCCCTTACCCATACAACGATAACATTTCATTCCAACCAAATCCTTTCCGACCGCCATGAGATATCGAGACTGATAAGTATCATCGCTCATCTCGCCTCCTCTCGAGAGAGAACGCCTAGAGCTCGACCTCCTATCATATTGACGATATCCATCTCTAGAACTGGAACGATAACGATCACTGTAATTCTTACGACCATATCCATCCTTATAACCGACATTCCTTGTGCTATCACTACGATAATGAGGAGACTCCCGTTTACCACTAATACTATTACTCCTACTATCCCTATAAGAGACCTTACCCAACTGTTCTACACGTTGGGCTTGACTAAGCACCTTATTCCTAAAACGCTCATAACTATAACTGCTTTTAGCAACATAATTATCCACCTTATCACGAACCTTATCATTAGATAGGCCAGTGAATAGGCGCCATTTCAAAGTATACTCTAGAGGAGCCGCGCCTAGGTGGCATAGCTCGTTAGCTAATATCTCCAACCTATCGACGAACTCTGGGACAGAATCTCGTCCCTGTATACAACGATTAAACTGGCTCTCTGCCTTCTGCAGGTGCTCATCCGTGTCGTACTTCTGGCGATAACGACCTTTAATTATCCTCAGACAATAGGCATAAGATTCATAACAATGGGTAGGACATACTTGTTTATTAGTTACTCGGTCCCATACCCTGGGCTCAGAGTGATGCTTCAACCATAGGTACTTAATAACCTCTGGATGGCCTTCCGTCTTCCTCTCCATCTCTTCCAACCATGTAGTCCCCGACCGTTCATCTTGTTCCCCTAGAAACTTATGTTGTGGTTTCAACTTGATAGCCAACTGTTCAGCAGTATCGAACTCTTTCATAGTCAGCTTGTTTCTCCCACAACCATTTCCTCCACAGGCCAGACAACCTCTTTTGGTACCCGTCATACGCTTGGCCGGGCGATAGCGTGTGCCACCAGTGAGATGTCCACCATAGCCACTGCGATCGGAGGAGGTTTCATCAGTTGAGGAACTTGATCCTGAAGGACTACGACGATATCTGCCACGACCTCTAGTGCGACCATAATCTCTTCCTCTAGAGCGACCATCGTCTCCTCTTCTCTTCGGCTCTTCACACCTTTCATCACGATAACGGTCTACCCCACGATCGTAACGACCATCTTCACCATAGTCTCTTCGGCGTTCGACAGATTCGTAACCTCTTTTATCATCCTTTGGAGACGATGAAGGACCATTTCTTCCATCAGTATTGCCCACTTCGTCAGTGATAATCTTGGGAGGCAGTCCATCCCTCTCTTGTCGGGGGTGATCAATACCCAACCTTGGAGATGGTATAGACGGCATCCGGAGACCACTGCTGCGGACTTGATCGTACCTGCCTAAAGGCAGAAATTGTTGGGACCTTTCAGGTCCAATTAACGCCTGAGTCAACTCTCCCCCAACTGGTTGACTGACCGAACGGACTCTAGATCCTAATGCAGATCTTGAGTCACTGTTAGTATGACATTCACTATTATTATTCATATTCCCGCTATCTAACTCCATATTCGAACTATAACAATCAACATTAATTCTCGCCTTTGGGGGAGGGATACCCGAGGAACCCCTTTCCCTTGCATGCCATTGTTGCATAGCAGAGGTAGACCCTACAGACCTAGGAAA